CAAGCCTAGAACCATCATAGAACCCTGATCCAAGCCCAGAATCCTGCTCCAAGCAGAGAGTCTTGATCCAAGCCTAGAACCATCATAGAACCCTGATCCATGCTCAGAATCCTGATCAAAGCCTAGAACCATCACAGAACCCAGACCCAAGTCTAGAACCATCACAGAACCGTGATCCAAGCCTAGAACCATCATAGAACAAGAACGAGTTGTTGTCTGTACTTTATATGTTCTGTCTGGAACAGGTCTGTCTTGTAAATGAGTCCTTGTGGCTCAATGAGACTAGCCTGTATAAATAAAAGTTGAATGAAAGAAAAATAGAACCCTGATCTAAGCCCAGAACCCTGATTCAAGTCTAGAACCATCATACAGTGTTAGCCATTTGTCATTGTCTTTTCCTTTTGGATGTGTATTTTTTACTGTGATTTACTTGTTTGTTTCTCCTGTACGACACTTTGGTCGGCCTTGTTGCTGTTTTAAGTCCTCTATAAATAAAATGGTATGGTATAGAACCCTGGTCAAAGCCTAGAACCATCATAGAACTCTGATCTAAGCCCAGAACCATCATGGAAACCTGACCAGTCTAGAAAGCTCAGAAACATCACAGAACCAGTCATTTGGGCTTGGTGCTGACTGGATGCTTCTTTTCCACTTTGGTTCAGCTCTTCCAACCAAGTTTTGGAGTCCTGATCCATTTGATCCAGGTCTGCTCTGTGTGGCAGTCCGGCCCAAATGGAGCTCATGGAAGCTGGCGCCGGCTCTGGACCAGGTCAACACCAGTGCAGCAGGTTTATTGATGGCTTTACATGAGGTGATTTGATCAGACAAAGTGAGTTCAGAACCTCACAAGACGATTGGGTTCAGTTTGAAGTTCTTACAGAAAACGGGTCAGAGCAGTCACTGAACAGAACTTGTGAACGAGAAAACAAAAAAGATTCACTGCAAAAATGCTAAAGCTGAAATCAGCTGCGAAATAGGTGAGAGTTAAACAACAGCTAAACTTTTGATGTCAGCTGAAGAAGAGACAGAACGAGATCAAAAAAGTAAATGTGTATGCCTCTTCTATGATCGTCCACTGTTGTCGTCACTCTGTTAAAAAAATCAGGTCTCTCTTGTAATGAGTCCCCGAGGCTCAATGGGATTAACCTGTATAAATAAAGGTTGAATGAAAAAAAAAAAGTTTTACATTAAATGAGACCACTTTTTTTTTGTGATCTTAACACAATAACTTAAAAAGTACATCCGTCTGATTGTGATTTTAGAAACTTTTTGTTGCATTTCAGTCGAATGTTTAGTTTATTTCATATTTAGGGTGAAATGCTGAACGCTTCAGGTGCTTTAATTCAGCTTCTTTCACATTTTAATATTTTTGAGCAGTTACAGCTCATGTTTTATCTCTGAAACTGGTATTAAATCCTATTATCTGCGTTATTAAATAGATGTTTTGCTCATATTTGGGATTAAATTATCAGATTAGATTGTTTCTGCTGATGTTGAAGCCACTTTTGAATATTTTAATCCAATTTTTGGACATTTAGGTGTTGTTTGTTTTGGTTTTTTTGGACGCCTTTACAGTCTTTGTGTCAAATTTGTGTTTGATCATTCAGATTTTTACACTTTTAACCTTCTGGCAAAAATATTTGCTTTAATTTTAACTTAAATCATCTTCATCCTCCTCCTCGTGCAGCATGGACAACTCTGTCCTGAGGACAGACAAAGTGTCTCACCTCTCCGGATGTCCCCCCCACCGGCACCTTCCTCCATGGATCCACCAGCTGAGCCAGAGGCATCTTCTCCTCCTCCTCCTCTTCTTCTTCTTCTTCTCCTCTTCCTCTTCCTCTGTTCGGGTCCGCTTTGATCCTCCCTCCGTCGACTCCTTGACTCCTGCCGCCTCCTCTTCAGAAATGTTTCCCGTTTCTTTTCTGTGAGTCGGCAGAACCGAGCCGAGCGGACTGACTCCGATTCCGGTTCTGGCGCAAAGACCGCCCCTTCCTCCGCCGACACCAACTCCGGACCCGGTTCGGCCTTTTCTCGGAAACTGATCGACTTCACTGATCTCTTCCTCCCTCCCTCCTCCTCTTGCGTCTTACTTCCGGTCGTTCCCAATATGGCGGCCGGTGTCGCCTTACCTGTCCGTCAATCAAATAACGTAACTGCTGCGTCACGAAAGAAGGCGGGACTTAACTGAGAACTTTATTTTATACGCTTGAAACTTGTTTCTATTTTTAAATATATTTAGTTCGTCTTTCATTGGTCCATTTACTTTATTTTTTGTTATTTATATTATTTTAACTTTTTATTTATTGTTCATTTTATACTTTATAAATTTTTATTCCTGTTTTTCAATTTATTTTTAAACATTCCATTTTGTTTTTCGTTTTTTCATATAATCATATTTTTCTTGGCCGTCTAATTTAAAAAAAAAATTTTTTTTTTATTGCCATCTGATTTTTTTTTTCCCTTTCTGTCGTCTATTTGTGAACCCAAACCATTACTCACAGTTGGAGTCGTGGTTCTACTGACTGGAAAAATAAAACGTGCTGAAATATTCGCTCGCACGTCTGATTTATGCTTTTAAAACCTTCTGAGATCAAACCTTCATGACACATTTTAACACAGAAAATAAAAATGTTCCTGTTAAGTCTTAAAAACATCAGAACTTCTTGTAAGCTTCCAAATTGGTCTTGATCAACTGTTTTTCATACTTACAAAAAAGATGGAAGAAACCAGTGTCTTTGTTACATTTCTTAAAGAACCATTAGGAGAACCAACTTGGCTTATCTTGCTTGATTCTTCTTAAAACAATAGATTAAAATGAACAAGTCTTAAAATCATCTCCTGTAGATGAATGTTTTCTGAAAACAAAACCTTTAGGTAATTGCAGTAAAAACCTGTCGACCGTCCAGTTAAACTTAACATTAAATCCTCAGCTATATATTTAAGGTATGTAAGTTGAAGCTTAGTCTTTAAATTGATTCAAGGACAAAAAATTAACTCATTAACTTTTAATTTATTGGTGTAAATGAACCCAAATGTAGTTTTTCCTTCACATAAACCCCTATTTCTGTTCACTTTCTCTGAGAACCACTTTTGACTTTACTTTGTAACAGTTTGTTCATTTTTATGTTTAAAAGTAAATAAAAGTACATTTTGATTTTGTTGTAAATTTTGAAGCAAATCAGCTTCAAGACAAAACATTTTGATGATTTTTTTGGTGACAAGGGATCAAGAAGTTCAGCAACAAGCTTGTTTTATAGTGACCCCTGCTGGTGGAAAACGGAACAACAGTTCAATTTTTAGTTTTTAAATTTATTAAGTCATATAAGCAGTCACAAGGAGCAAAAACAATTTTAATCTTATACTTTATTTAACATCTAGTCTCATAGTGACATAATTCAACACTCTAATAAATAATAAAACTTCTACAGATTTAATTTCAGAGAAGATGGAAGATCTCAGGGATGTTTCTGGAAAAACTCAAACTTTTAAGTTTGTCCAAAAAACATCAAATAAAATGCAGCATTTTATTTCCCTTACATTTTCATCTTCACAACATTAACTCTTCTTTAAACCTGCGTTCAATAAATAAAACTTTTTAAGAATTTCAAATCGTGATTAAACATGTAATAAACTCTACATGAAGGAAAAATAAACTTGTGCGTTTATTGTTCAACCCTGCAGCTTCTTTATCACAAAAAACAAACTTTAAAGAATACCTTCAAGTCTTTGTAATGAGGGACCAGCGGACTGATCAACATGAGGAATAAATTATATTTCTAAATAAATAAATAAACCCGGCAGGTCTCAGACTCTTTGGTTCTGGACGGACTCTGCGGGTCAGGTGGACGGAGTGTTTCTAGCTGACAGACTTGAGTTTGGACCAGGGGTTTGTCCCGCGGACATCCAGTGGCGGGTTGTTGTGGAACAAGTAGTTGCACAGATCCTCCAGCGGCGGCTCTGGGTCTGAAGTGGCGAACTGAGCCGCCTCCTCCACCTCCTTACGGATCTCTGTGTCGATTTCCTGATGGGAGGGAGACAAGCCAATTAACGGAAGGAGGAAACAGGAAGTTTCTGAAACAGATGATTGATGGACTAATCTAAACTCAGACGGAGGAGGAGCTTCTGACAGCTCCTCCAACTCCACCAGTTGATTGACAGACTTCTCTCAGACCTGCTGAGGTTCCTCAAAGCCAGAGCAGGTTTCTAAGAATGTTATGACAGGAAACGGTCCCACGGAACCGCCGTCCTGCAGCTTTAAGTCCAGTTTCACAGAAATGACTCACTCTGTTCCTGTTTTTCAGTCAAATGGAACCTCAGCCAGTTTCCACTTCCCCTCGGCTCATTAAGGAGCGTTTTAGACCAAAACCAGACCAGAGTGGAGATGTTTACCCATAATGCACAGCTCCAGGTTTAGACTCTATGCCTGACTGAAGTTGAGCAGAAACCTGAAAGAACTGAAGCAACAATGCAAAGAAGAATGGGCCAACATCGCCCCACAGTCCCACGCTCACCTTGAACTCCTCCGCAGACGCCATGTTGGTGCCGAGCATTCGCTCTCTCAGCAAGGAGATCGGGTCGCTCTTGCTGCGAACTTCCTGGATCTCTTCACGAGTTCGATAGCTGCAGGACACCAGAGAAAACGGAGAGCCGAGGACTAAATTACAGCTGAAGAAACAGAGCTGAAACTGAGCTGGTCAAGTTAAAGCAAGGAGAGGCTATGGGTAGCAAAACAGAAACTAAAAGAAGCAAATTACAAGCTAAAAATAACATACAGAAGCTAAAAGTAGCAAAAAGCTTCTGCAGTGCTTATTTTTAGCTTGTGATTGACTCGTTCTAGTAGTTAGAAGTAACAAGATAGTTGCTAAAGGTAGCAAAGCACAAGCTAAAAGAAGTAAAGCAGAAGCTTAAAATAGTAAATCGGAGGATAAAGGTTTCTGTTTTGCTACTTTTAGCTGACCATTTTTAGCCTGTGTTTTGCTATATTTATCTTATGTAAATTTTAGTAGCTAAAAGTAGTAAAGTACAAGCTAAAATTAGCAAAGCAAAAACCAAAAGTAGCTTATCATATGCTAAAAGTAGCAAGACAGTAGTTAAAAGTAGCAAAACAGTTATTATCAAATTTTTAAACAACTAAACAAAAGCCAAGGGTGACAAAAGTAGCAAAATGGCACGACAAGCTTAAATAAGCTAAACAAAATCATAAAACAATCACAGTGGTTAAAGGATTAAAACTGTAGCTAAAATCACTAAAACAGTAGCTCAAAACTGAACAAAGCAGAAGACAACAACAGCCTTTCAAGGAGAGCAAAGTTTTTGAAGGAACTGTAGAGATCTGGATGTAATTCTATGGGAATTTTATTTATTTATTTTTTTTTTAAATAAAGCTAAATATTTAGAAAATTATAAAAGTTACAAAAACTAAACGACGCAACAATCATCTCCTGAAGGAATTTAACGTTTCGTTGCAAGGACGGCTAACATAGCCCAAAGGCTGCAGGGGTTAAGATTGTAAAAACACAGATAAAACAACAGACACCAAATGCTGACTCCGCGCTCACATGGCAATAAAGTTTCTGCTGAGTCATCAGAAAAACATCCACACTCCAGGTGACTCACCTGACGCCCGGGTCACTCATGCTGTGTCCGTGGTAACGGTACGTCTGCAGCTCCATCAGGATGGGACCCTGAAACACACGGCAGGGCTGTTCTCACACCTGAACCAGAGTGCATCATGGGAAACGTCCCATGGTTCATTTTATTAACAAAGACGTAAAGATGTAAAGAGGACTGAACGAATCCAGTTCTGATCCGACGGCTATAAATCCTTCCAAGCCCAGATGAGTCAGCATCAATCATCAGGATTTATTAAAGTCGTTCCTGTGGCTGCTGAGGCGTTTCTACGGAGGCTAAAGAGTGACAAACGTCTGACGTGTCACAACTGAACACAGCTAAAAATTTATAAACATATAATCAGGGTTCCTGCAAGTTTCAGTCACAAGCAAAACCATAGATAAAAGTAGCAAACCATTTCTAAAAGTAGCTAAATATGTGCTAAACGTAGCAAAACATGCTTAAAATAGCAAAATGTGCCAAAATATAAAAAAAAAGTGTGCTAAAAGTAGAAGCTAAAAATAGCTAAATGTGTTTCAGGTAGCAAAAAGTGCTTAAAGTAAAATAAATAAATGTGTGTGCTAAAAGTAAACGCCACTCCAAACAACAATGGATGAACATCTACTAAATAACCTTTAGGAACAACATGACTCAAGATGGCTGCCACAGCTACTTGACAGCAAAGACAAAATGATCTGGAAGTCAGTCAGTTTTAGAGCTAAAGGTCACATCTGATGTGGTAGTAGCTGAGAGTCATCTTCAACACACACTCTGAGCTCTCGCAGTACCTGAGATCTCTGCCTGAAACGTGATGATTTATCAAGAATCGTTTTTGGTTTCCAGTTCACTCTGAGTTCAGACTCGACCCAAACAGCCTCAGAGTTCTGTTGGGAGCTCGGTTCTTGATCCACTTTGGATGTTTGAGTTCAAACTACTTCACGGAAATGTTTAAAGAACCCAAACCTGGCACCCATCTGATGAGACGGCTCGGGTATCAAACAGACAGTTTAGAGTGAGAGTTCTGGTTCCGGACCGGGACTCTCTGGGCTCACCTTCCCAGCTCTGCAGTGATCAGCTGCAAACTTTGTTGCCTCTCTGACACACAGGACGTCCATCCCGTCCACCTGAAACCCAGAAGAACCCGTTTATTCCCAGGAGGACTTCAATTCGGACCGATTTTAATCTGAGCAGAACCTGCGTGTGGGCGGTATCATACAAGAGCATCAGACAGCTTTTTGATGTTCACACCTGCAACCGCCAGATTATAATCTAGGTCCAAACGGGCCAGCTGCAGCATACGGAGGACGGACTGCAGCCACCGCCCGAAGGCCACAGAGCACAAACACACACACCCCACCCCCCCATCTGTGTGTCTCACCCTGAGGCCCGGGATGAAGTCCCCTCTCTTGTAGTAGTCGGTGCTGGCGGCAGCCCGCTCCACCGACGTGCCCATGCCGTACTGGTTGTTCTCGCACACGAAGATGATCGGCAGCTTCCACAGGGCGGCCATGTTGAACGTCTCAAAGATCTGTCCCTGGGGGGAGACAACAAACGAGCGGAAGCGTTTACCTTCTCTGCTCATCGCCTGCCTAAATGAAACTCACAGGAAGTAATCAACAATTCAAGATGGCTGCCGCAGCCAAACAGCCTAAGAGAACGCGTACAAGAAGTCAGTTTTAGATACTGGGCTCAGATTTGATGTGGTAGTAGCTGAGAGTCATCCACAACATTTACATTATTTTTTAATAAAATGTTCGTTTTTCTTCATGAGGTGATCTTAGCTTCAAATGTTGGAATGAAAGGAGGCGGGCCATAAATCCTTCATTCAAAGGTTCTGTCATTTTAACTATTTTAATCAAATAAAGACCACATTTTAAAGCATGCTTTAAGACATTAAATCATTTAAACCTTGCTATGACATCATTCTGAAACATTTTCCTTCCAACGATCAAGACTTATAATGGTTTAAAGTGTTCGCTGGATGTATTTTTACCTGTTTTAATTTTTGTACTCGAGTGTTTTTTTAATCCACTTTAACTTGTATCTACGTAAAAAGGTTCCTAAACTAATAAAAATAAAAAGTTTAAATAGAATCTTTAGTTTTTTTAGACGGCAAAGACACAGCTTGCTCTCAGTTCTTTAGTTCAATCTGTGACAGAAACAACTTTTTAAAAACTGCACGCAGAATAAAACACAACAAAACTAGAAGATTTGTGCAGAAACTTTAACGGGAGCTCCGACCTCCATCACTTTTCTTCTCTGAAGCCCAACAGGAAGTTGGGAATGTTTTGAAACTGTAGAGTTTGTGGGGAGAAGAGCTTGTTTGCAAACATTTTGCTCCAAAGTTTGTGGCACATCATCACTACTTTGTGTTAAAACCCTCCGTGTTAGCCTGAGATAAAGTATCAAGGATGTGAAAACAGCAGTTCAGTCATGTAACTGTGGCCTGTTTAAACGATGGTTCTGCTGCAGAGATCCAAACAGGATAGGATTTTAACACACACTTCTACTAATCATTGATGTCTACGGGGAGATAATTTGCAGTAAAATGAAAAATTTGTCAGTTTTGATGCTTTTCTTCCTAAAACTACAGGAGTGGAGTTTAAAAGAATCCTGACAGAAACAGAAAAACCGCCTCAAATGAAGCCGGATCAGGACTTTTGCACAGTTCAGTGCCAGCAGAGCTTTAAGGTTTGAATTAGATTAATTCATTAATTTGATTTCATTATTTTTTAACTCGAGTCCTGTTTACAACCAGAAATGAAACCTAAAAGCCTTGAAACAGAAGCCATAAATACTTATTTTTACCTTTTGTTGTCGTTTGTAAATATAAATTATTAAATACATAAATAAATAAAGTATTATGTTTAATAATAAATAAATAATCCTTAGTTGTTGGTCTGAGCTTGAAGACTGCAGCTGTAAAACGTAACCATAATAAAGCTTAAAAACGGCGTGCTCCTCACCTGATTGGCCGCTCCGTCTCCGTACAGCGTCACACACACCTGGTCGTTTCCTCGGTACCGACAGGCCAGAGCGATCCCTGCTCCCAGAGGCACCTGGACAGGTAACGGCTCAGGTATTCACAGGAAACAGCAGAGAAGCTGCAGCCAGTACCTCTAATGACACAAGCAGGTGGTGTTTATTTACCTGTGCGCCCACGATGCCGTTACCTCCGTAGAAATGAGGGGCGTACATGTGCATCGAGCCCCCCTTCCCTTTGGCCACGCCCCCTTTTCGACCTGAGGAGACACCGTGAAGGAATGAAGCGTCCATTTGGGTGAAAACTAGCGCCTGTCCGGTTGTTCGGACACCCGCCTCACCTGTGAGCTCAGCCAGGATTTGTTTGATCGGAACGCCGCGGGTGAACGTGTACGCGTGTGCACGGTAAGCTGTGATCAGGTGGTCTGAGGGGCTGACGGCGGCCTCGATACCTGCAGCACACGCTTCCTGTTAGGAAAAGGAAGGATGGCCTAACCTTTTACAATCATTCAAAATAAAACTGAAGAATAACATAAGTTTTTACACATTTAAATAAATCTAAAATTTTAGGTCCACACCTGTCCATCGTACAGGTGACAGAAGCCCCTGATGATCTTCTGTTTGTAGAGCTGATCAGCTTTGAGCTCCATGCGCCTCACTGTCTGCATGGTATGGTAATACTGGAGGCCCTGCTCCCTCGTTAGCTCCGCCCTCTCTGGAGGCCCCGCCTCCAGGCGGTGCAGGTCGCATTTCTACAAAACGCACAGATCATGCTCCCTAATTTGAGGATGCAGTTAGACTCAGGAGAGATTGAGCTCACTGCAGTTTCAGAGTTTCAGCTCACCTTGATGTCAAAGGTCGCCTGAGGAGCGACGTCAGCAAAGCTGCGGGCGGCGACGACTCGGGCGCCCTGAAACACATCAAGCACCATTATTTCAAAGTTCACATCGGATCACTGCAGATAAAACACAAAGCAGTGCTGCCGCCTTCTGTCCACAGTTCATCCACAGCTACTTAAAGCTCTATCACACAAAGAAGAAGACAGATGTGAAGAAAAAAAAAACAGAACTGCTGCTGACTTCTCTGGACCAAAGATCATTTCAAATGGTCTGAGGCAAAGTGAAGAACTGAAACCACGAAAGGATGGGAGGGACCATCCAGCCTGTTATCAGACCACCGATCAACTGTCTGCCTCTTTGATCATATGGAGGTACGTTTGTACCTCTGGCATGTGCAGCTTACACATCTGGAAAAACTTGATTGGTGCAGAAACTTATCTATGGGTTTTAGAACATTTGCTCCCATCCATCAAAAAAATCCAGTTAAGAAGATCCAGGACTGCTGAACTGCTAGAATCCTCCATCAGACTGTGTTGGGAAACATGCTCTCAAAAAACAAAAACTACAGGTAGTCTCAGGTCCTCCAAAACTGCCAACAACTGGTCCCCAAAGGTCCTCCAAACCCTGGTCTCTTCAGGTCCTGCAAAACCTCCAACAACGGCTCTATATCAACCGACCGTTGTCTGATATAGAGGAGATGTTTCACCGAGGAAACGTGAACTTGGGACAAATTTAAAGAAACGTTTTGCTGCCATAGAAAATAAAATTAACCCTTTTTAAAATGTACAATTTCTTTGTTTGCAAATTTGATATATTTACTTTGTTCCACTGTGAATAAAATATGGGGTTATGTGATTTAAAAAATATTTGTGTTCTCTTTTTATTTACATTTTACACACTGTCCTGACTTTTCCAGAATTATGGTTATGGTTGAATATTTTTTTGATTAAACAGCTCAAAGCCACAACTCTAGACCAGATTACAGCTTGTAAATTGTTATGAGTCATCTACACTCCAATGTCAGTTATGGCATTCCACAGGGTTCTGTGTTGGAACCAGTACTGTTTTGACTTTATTTTCCACCTGTGACCAATATCAGAAAATGTCAATATGCATATGACACCCAGCTTTGTTACAGAACCATAAGAAAAGTATTTTTTTCTTATTTTAGCAGAAGCAGACTCATGCAAATGTTCTGGTTAGATTCCCCAGCCCTGTTAGTGAGCAGTGAGACACCAAAGACACTGAAGGGGTTCTTACTGGTCCATCTAGCTGGTGGGTCTGGGTGCTAACTAACTGCTCAGCAGAGCTTCTAGTACTGACTGGTGGTGGTTTAGGTGGTCGGTGCCGGGTCTGAGCCAAGGCGGGACCCGCAGGTGACGTTACGCTGACAAACTCTGACAGGTTAATCAGCAGCTGGGGAACACAGGAGCCAACCAATCAGAGCACAGCACAGCCAGAGGGGCTCTACAGGTGAGGAGACGTCTACAGGTGAGAGAGCAGAAGCTACAGGGAGACAAAACATGATGGCTGGAGCCTAAAATGACAAGAAACTCACCAACCTAACAGAGTTTACACAAACATAACAGCTTGTATCTGCAGCCCGAAGGAATTTAATCTCAAATAACAGCTGGATAGATTCAATCATTTCTAATCAAAATACCACGTTGACAGACTGACAGGAGCTGATTAAAGTCTGATTTTAAGACTAAAATCAGACTATTAAATAATTTGTCAAACCCCTGAAAAATATCGGAGAAAAAGTGACATTTAACATGATTTTACATCAATATATTGTTTGTTTGTTTTAGTGTGTGAACCATTTCAAGCGAGGTTCTGTGAAAAGGTTATAAACATCTTACCTGTTGTAGACAGCCTTAGAACAACCTCAGCTTTTTATTTGTAATTTTTTTTATTATTACATTAGTTATAAGGTGTAATAATGAGTGTGACTTGTGCATACAAGAAAAAACATATTTGAAGTTAACTTACAGTTATCCGTAACGTTAAGAAAGTTGTTGGTGAATAAAAATCACATTCACTTTTAAAAAGATGAAGCTAAAATGTGCGGATATAAAACCTTGCTGTGACAAATAAAAATAAAAGCAAACAAGAATAAAACATAACAGCATATACTGCAAATAATCACGCATTCCTGGATTTCAGCCTGTAGAACATGGTGTCTGCAGAGGGAAGGAAGGTCAGGATAAGATCTACGGTCAAACATCAGCAGCTGCTTACCTCAGACACAGTTTGAGCTTCCTACAGTTCAGGTCAGGTGCAGCGGGGACAGGAGGGAGGGAGGGGGAGAAAAGCCAGAAATAAACAAGGACTGTTGAATATTTGTGAAGAACGAAGGCGGCAAAGCAGGGAGGAGGAGAGCGAAAGCTGGCAGGAAAACAGACAAAGTTCCTACAGGCTCTTACTCTGAAATAAGTTTTTTATTTTAGGATTTTAAAAATAAGATCATCACAAGAATTAAATGGATAAATGAGTGGATTTATGTCCAGAACCTGTAGGAACCTGGTGGTACTGACAGGCAGACTCAACATGCTGCTCAAAGCACATCTACTGACCAGATTATTACTAAAAACATGCAACATTTACCTAATTTATCTAGAATACATCTAAAAATCTTGATCATATTTCTTTATATTTTCCTTCCAATGATCCAGACTTTCTTGTAATTCTTTAAACTGGTTGTGGTCATCAATTCTCCAGACTATTGGAAGTACTTTCAAAGCTTTTCTTTGGATGTGTTTTTATGTATTTGATACCAAATATGTGAACTAGTAGTTACTAATTTGACATGTGTTGATATTTTATTCAGTGTATCCATGAAAAAACAAACCAGTAACAGTAAAACCTAAAACCAGCAGATGAACGGTACCTAAAAGTTGTGTTAAGAGGTCCATTAAAGACCTGGGTGATGCATCATCCTTACGATTGTTACGAAAACTCTTCAGAAATTATCTTAAAAGAAGAATCTCGATCAAAAGCATATCAATAAGAAGGGAAATGGGAAGTAAAAGCTACATGTTGCTACTGAAAGTCAGTGATGGAGCTAAATTAAAATATTTTAATCCAAACCATCATTAAATTGTATTGGGGTGGTCAGGACTATGGTCAAATAATGGGTCTAGAGCTGAACACGGTGGAGTCAGCATCATGGTTTGGAACTTCATTTCAGCCTGTAGTGTTTTCATTTTAAAACTAATGGGAGTTTAAACACAAAACATGTTTGATTTACCGTATGATTCAGTCAGAAAATATTGTAATTCTTCTAAGAGACAAAACAAAAAGTTAAATTTAAAAGAGCTTTTAAATAACCCTAGAGAAATATTTTTGTGTAGATAAAGAAATAAGAAAAATGCTACCTGAAAAAATTAAAAACGAGCCGAATTTAAAGTCTGTTGTTTGAACAACAAAAAATAAATAAACATGCTCATGGACCCATATCTGGAAATGTTTTATCATATTTCTTCGCAAATATAAAGAAATGAGTGGCTCAAGACTTTTGCACAAAAAAAGATCATAATTGTTTAGAAAAGACAACTTTCACCTTCTTAAATAAACTAAAAAAGATATTTTAACGGTATTTTCAACGTCACGAATAGATGCAAATCACAACTTATAAGAACAATAATCTAAAAATAAAAAAAAAGAATGATCTGGGAAAGGCCAACTTCTGTTTGAGGTAAGAAAACCACCAAAATCAAAGAAAATAATTCTAATTAAAACCACAAAATTACATACCACCTTAATTATTCACCCGTGAACAAAATATATTCAGGCAATTGTTCAATTTAAAACATTTTAGCCCATATTCTGCTGTAAAGCACCAGAACATCATGCGAAGAAAGGTAAGCTTGTTAGCTGTAGCTAAGGTCAGCTAGCTGTTAGCATTAGCGTGGAGCGGTTCCGCTCGGAACCTCTGAATTAAACCCGAACCACTCACCACATTCTTCCCAGTGATCCTACAGAGTGCTTTAGAAATAATCGCAAACATGGTTTTCATTCTACCGAACCACGAAATACCCGCTGGAGAGGATTAAACGCATCCGTTAGCCGCTGTCCCTGCCATGGTCCGTAGAGGAACATGAGCCCCCAACATTAGTTCCGCAATTTTTGATAGTCGTGAATATTTTGATTGTTGAGTTTTTTGTTTTCTACTACTTGATACTGATATAAAATTAATACTTGTTTTGTTTAAAGAAAGAAAAAGTAAAATAAAAATATATACAGTATGGTTTAAAAATGTATAAATACTTGGTTAAAAAAGTTTTTTGTAGTAAACTACTGACCATGTACTATGCCAATTTTGAGTTTCCTAGCAGTTATTTTACAAAAACATTTCATCCCCATAACCAAATCTTTCAGATAATTCACCTTTATTTTGAACTAAAACTTTAATACAATCTCAAATTTAATTTTTCTAAAAAAATTTAAATAAAAAACTAATGTTCAGTTTAACAAATATAATGAAAGTAAAAACAGAGGAAAAGTAGAAATAAATAAGACTTTTTATTGCATTTAGCCCTGTTTTTGCAGCAGCCGGAAGCATGCAGAAATTAAAAAATGTTTATAAAAATGTAACATTTTGCACTGTAACATTGTGCAAACATGAGCTAAACAAAGAGCTAAACTATTTGTGCATATTACTTTGGTGAAGTGCTCCAAAAACATAAAATGTAAACCTTCAAGACAAAAAAATAGAAACCTTGTGATATACAAGTAATCAAATGTATAAAAATAGCATAAAGCTATATGTATTAATTAGTTTCGGCTGAAACCCAAAGTCATCTGTTTGCTCGTTCAGGCCTCCACGGTTTGATTGAAGTGTCTTTTCCCGTCCAGGTAGAGCATGGACTCTGTTGGACACAAACATTAATTAAACACGGAGACAGAAACACAAAATTCAGCAGAAAACTCGTTAAATTTTAGTTTTAAAGCCTCAACTTTCAGCTTTACAGAGGAACCAACACTAAGGTGTTGTCTTACCTCCGTATGTCTTGGGGACGATGTTGGGGACGTCCCGGTCCGACGCGAAGGTGTAGTGGAAGATGTTGGTGGTGTTGTGCGTCTGGGTCAGCGGGTCGAACACCTCGCTGTGAACTCTGACCTGGATGTACTTCCCCTGAGTGTAACACACCTGAAGCACAGAAAGAAACCAGCTGTTCCTCAATAAATCAACTAAAATTTACTTTTGTTTTTTAAAGATGGCAGCAAACAGAACAATAAACTTTATTCCAAAACCATCACGGCTCTTTTCAGTTCTGCGTAAAGAGGTCTAATGGGTGATCTTTAGCTCCACCACTGTCTTTAAAGTTTTATATTTGTGCTTTTATTGCTGTATTTTGTTTTTTGTGTACTGATAAGAACCGTCGTTGTTGCTCCTGCGTGACGACATAAAGACATTCAGATTCAGTTATTATTTAAAAAAAGTTAAAACCTGACACTTTATGGCTCAAATTATTTAAAATTTTAAAACTAAACAGCTTCAGAGTTCGGCGTCGTTTATTTTACCTCACAAACGTTCCAACGTGTGAATTTAGAACCATTTAAATTATCACGGGACAAATATATTTAATCCCCTGCCACCATGAAAGGCAGTGTAAATATCAGCAATGGTCTGAGTTAGCAAAATATCTCATGAGCCACTTTATTTTAATTAAATTTCTAGGAAATCGTCATTGGACGCACTTCAACAGCGGGAGTCAACCTGATTTAAGACGGTCGACTTTAAACACATAAACAGCTATAATTCAGTCAGTTTTATACATGCTGGACTAAATTTCGGTGTGGTAGCAGCTGAAGGTCACTGCCAACACATAATCTGAGCATCAATGGAGATTTCAAGATTTCACGCGAGATAGCTTACTGTAATACAAGTCACTTTTATTCAAAAATGTCGTCAAAACACGGGTTGTGTAGCCTCGTAGAAAAATTGGAGGGAGATTTTTCAAAAAACTTCTGGACCCACTGGACTGTGGATGGCTCTTTCCAAAAGAGTGGTGGGCGCTAATGAAGGTGATCAAACTGTGTGTAAATCAAATGAAACGTAATCAATATTTAAATGACCAGTACATATTTTTATGGAAACATTATCTATATTTTTATAAATCTTTATACAAAAGTCTACTTTTTGGTAAAAGTTGGTAAAGACTTGTGGCTCTTTATACCATGAAACTGCAATAAAAACAAGAAATACTTTTAATTTTAAATACAAAAATAGTTACATATTTAATATTGCACATATTTAAAAGATTATTTCATCTTGATTTGTGTTAAACCTAAAAATTACTAAAACAAAACCCTTTATATTTGCAAATGTTGCCTATTTGCATCAACTTATTAAGTATGCGGGCCGCACACAATCACTCAGAGGACCACAAATGGCCCGTGAGCCACACTTTGGGCACCCCTAAAATTGCTTCTACTTTGGTCTCAAAAAACAAAAACAATAATTTTATGTTCATGTTTAATTTTTAACAATAAAAAGCTTTTAGATTTGAAGAATACATATTAATAAGAGTTTAATATTTATTTTTTTATTTCATTTGACAAAACGTTAAATATAAAATCAACAGATAAGAAGAACTGAGTGGTCATTCTGTTGTCTGAAAAGCCTCTTATAAATAAAGTTTGATTGACAGGAGGAGTCTTCGTCTCACCTGAGAGGAGAGCATCAAGAGGGAACCGATGTCTACGGGTTTTTGGAACATAATATCATCCACAGCCACCAGACTGGGCCGACACCCTCTGCAACAAACCCAGAACTGATCAGAAAAACAACCGTCAACTGTTTAGGATCATTTCCAGGTCAGAATCTCTCACCCGTAGGAGCAGGCGTTGGCCCAGCCCAACTCGTAGGCCTTCCTCATGAGAAAACCTCCAAAGATCCGGTTGAAAATGTTCCTTTGCTGAAAAACAGAAGACCACAGACAGTCAGACCTGGTTCTGGTTCTAGTCCAGGTTTAGATAAAAAATTATCTGTCCTTCCTGCAGGTCCTTGGTCTCACCTGTGGGTGGCAAATCTCCACTCCTTTCAGCTTGGCGTCCTCCATCCAGACCGAGTTTGGTGGAAGAATCCTGCTCCGGAAACTGACAGTGCTGAGGACACCAGAGGACACAAAGACCGTCAGAGAGGACACAAAGACCATCAGAGAGGACACAAAGACCATCCAAGAAGACATAAAGACCATCAGGGGACACAAAAACCATCAACAAGGACACAAAGACCATCAGAGAGGACATAAAGACTGTCAGAGAGGACACAAATACTGTCAAAGGACATAAAGACCATCAGAGATGACAGAAAGACTGTCAAGAGGGGACACAAAGACCAACAGAGAGGATATAAAGACTGTCAAAGGGGACACAAAAAACATCAATGAGGACAAAAAGACCATCAGAGAGGACATAAAGACTGTCAGAGGGGACACAAAGACCATCAGAGAGGACATAAAGACTGTCAGATAGGACACAAATACTGTCAAAGGACACAAAGACCATCAGAGGACACAGACTGTCAGAGAGGACACAAAAACTGTCGGAGGACACAAAAACAATCAAAGTGGACATAAAGACCATCAGAGGACATAAAGACCGTCAGAGAGGACATAGAGACCGTCAGAGGTTGCAAAGACCATCAAAGGACACAAAAACCGTCAGAGGACATGAGGACTGTCAGAGGACACAAAGACCATGAAGGATTTCTGTACAAAACTCTAAAGAAAAGTACCAAACGGTTAGATAAAAGCTAAAGTAGTAAAAACAAAAATAAAACCAGGAAGTCAGCAGTGTGAATGCTGACTCAGCGTTTAGATTAGTACTTGGTGTCCAACGTGTTGAGGAACAGGTCGTGGACGATCTTCCTTTCCTCGTCCGTTGGAGCGGCCTTCAGCAGCGACGCCGTGCTCAGCTCCACACGACGAGATTTATTAACTGAAATTAGACATCAGAGAAAGATGAGGAGTAGGAGAGATTAGGATTATGTCAGACGAGACCATCACCGCCTCATACTTTCTCCCTCCTGGAGGAACTTCTCATCCTCCGGTCCGTCAGGCTTCAGAGGATTGACAAACGCTGCCCTGAAAAAAAAGGTACGAAGTGGGGATACAGCTGTGAGGATGGAGGGAGGCGGGGCTTATAGGACAGGTAAATATGACATCTTTAATCTAAAAAACATCTAATCCAAATGCCTACCTCTTATTCTCTGGGTCGCGGGCCACCATGACAAACGTGGCGTCCAGAACTGGGGCGTACGTTCCGTCCAGGTACTGCAGGAGGAGACCGAGTTCAGCAAAAGACTCTGGTCCAGTTCAGTTGCTTTGTTTACTTCTAATAAAACTTCTGTTTACCTGTGTACAGGTGTGTTTACCTGTGACATGTGCATCTTTGCTTCAATGGAGGTCCTCCCCACCCAGGTCACATGACCCGTGAACTTGATGTCACAGTCAGGGTAGATGACGTGCTGCCTCATGTCTGACCCAAAAAACAAGAACCTCAGATCCAAACAGAACCAGAGAAAACACTGAACACTACCGAAACCTGATAATTAACTCGTAACTGAACTCTTCAAGCAGTACTGAAGCTAAAATCAGCTAAACAGTGGCTAAAAACTAAAGTAAGAGAAAGTGGCTGAAAGCTAAATGTTGCAAAACTGTATCAAAAAGCTACAATCAGCAAGAACAGCTAAACTGCAGTTAGTACACTACAGATAAAAGCTCAAATTAGAAAACCATAGCTAAAAGCAAAAAAAATGCTAAATGCTAAAATAAAAACAAAACAATGACTAAATGCCAAATGAATCAAAAATAGTAACTAAAAATAGCTAGAGGATCAAATTTTAAAATTTGATAGCTAAAAGCTAAAATGAGAAAAGCTAAATTATCAAACAGTGGCTAAAAAGAAGATAAAAGACGAACAGAGACAGAGCCAGCAGCTGAAGCGGATTTTAAGGAGAACGATGTTTCTGTAGGAAAATGTATTTCTGTATTTTATGGGAAAATATTTGTAAATGAAGATTTTTAAAAAATCTGTAAAAGTGTTAAAATTACAAAAAGAAAAAAATCACAGTGCCCATCTCTTGAACGAGCTGAATGTTTTGATATAAAAACAGCCAAAATAGAACAACGTATACAGAAGTAGTTAGATTGTGAAACACATGAATGCAACCATAAACAGTTTGTGGTTCATTGAGGTCTCTTACCTATCTTGTCCACCAGCGCCGTGACGATGGACAGAGGAGACCTCTTCAGCTCGGGGTTGTAGGTGTGGGAGTAAGAGATGAGGACTGAGGAGGAAGAGGGATCTTATTAGTGTCCAGCTGAGCGAAGCTTCCTGTTTCACCTGAACCAGAACCTTTATACCTGCCAAACTGTCCAAGTCCTCCAGGATCCTGCCAAACCTGACATGAGACGTGAAACCGGTCAGACATGCTGTCTCCTGATCCCGTCACTTGTTTGTTTGTTTGTTTGTTTGTTTACCTGACCGTGTTGTGGTAAGTCAGGTACTTCTCTCTGAGCTGCGGCTCGGAGCCCAGCGGCAGGTGAACCTCCAGGTGGCTGTCCTTCATCGTCTTGGCAGGAAGTTCGCTCTGAGACTTGGCCAACATGGAGGACAGAGACGCTCGCTCCGACATGGCCTGCTGATGGTCGCTGTGGACAAACGTCAATAAATACCACACTCAAAAGGTAAACAATCAAGCTTATTTTACTCCTATTTACTTTAACTGATTATTTTAGTCAATTATTTTTAAACAGAAACAAAATTATACTAAAAAATAAACTATTTTATCAGTATTTTTATAAAGAATTACATTCAACTTTGTTTATTTAAAGGTGCTGCATGTGAGACATAGTGCCATCTAGTGGCACAAACTGCAAAATACAGTCAATTAAATGCTGCACCCTTGAATTAGAAAACCTGAAAACATAAAAAGAAAATACTTGGAAATGAGGTGTTAGCAAACAAAAAGTACAAACACCTTTTTTAAACATAAAAACAAATAAATGTGATAATATTGAATATTTGGTGTCATTTAAACAACTGATTGAATTGTACTATGATTTCATAAAGCTGAAATTTATTTATTTACCCAGTCCTGTAACTCAAAATATTTTTAAGAAAAGTGAGTCAAGACTATTTATTGGTAATATCTGTGGAGTATTATAAAATACTCTAACTAGCACTAAAGTACAAGTGGTGTGTCTGCATTTGTTTTATACTGTAAATATTTCCTAATTTAAAATACAAACACAGACTAATAAAGCATGTAATCTAATATCATCAAATTTAAGAACCAAAAAGTGTTAAAAAAAAAAGTGACAAGATGGAAACAGCTGTACGTCTACTCATTTATCTAGTTTTTATCATTTTTATCACTTTGTTTCTACTTTAATTCTACTGTATGTTTTGTTTTGTGCTGTAATGCACATATTTTCAGTCTTATGTGGCATTTTTTGGTTGTATTTACTCAATGTAGTAATTACACAGACAGGATGATACACAGGTTAAATACAAGTTATTATAATAATAAACAAGTAAAGCAACTCTGAATAGTTTTTTTTTTATGTGTTTAACTTGTCGTATTTTAAATGTTTGTCCGAAATGTTCCAACAATGATTTTCTGGTTGGAATAAAGAGTTAAAATGTAACAAACCCCCAAATAGTTAACTTTTCTAAGTGTCTCACGCAGTTTATTACCTCCAGTTCGTTGAGGCTCCAACAATTTCCCTCAGCCTGTTTCTCACTGAAACAAGACAAAACAACCAGATGTTTGTGATCGAACAGCTGCGACTGAGAGCCGAAGAAATCAGAGTTAAGGTTTTTGTTTCGTCTCGTCTCTGCTGGATTCACAAGGATGCAGTTCAACAGTTTGAAAAGGCCTTAATGAATATTAACACTGGTTTAAATGTTTAGGCTTAAACAGCGAGACGATACGAACCAAAAAAACTGAAGCTACAGGGGCAGGAAGACAGAAAAAACTGCCAGATGTGAAGTCACTGCGCATAAAATCCAGACTGGAAACAAAGTGTGAAAGGAAATAACATGCAGGAGGAATTAAAGTGCAGTTACAGCCAATTTGAAGAGAATTAATCTGAGGTTCATATTGGTTCTGGTTTACCAACACACCATTTGACACGTGTAAAAGTGGATTCCCTGTGGAGAAAGGCAAATGATTAAAACATGCATTAAAACCCTACAATAAACACAAATTTGTGCTTTTATTGTTGGGGAAAAGTGCCAACAAAAACAGATAACTCCAAAATTAGCATTTCCATTCTGCCGAGTTATAAATCTGATATTTATTGATAGTTTCAGCATCAGAGGCCACAGATTCAGCCGGCTGGGTTTTAAAGTGTCCTTCACACAGCAACATTTTCTGCAGCTTTTTCTTTTTATTAAAGCAGAGTTTATGGAGATGAATCAGGGCTTGTGTGGAGTCTCATACCCTCCTTCATGTCCGGTGCTTTGCCATGTTTGGATGCTGCTCCGGTGCAGAGGGACCTGCTCATCATCAGGGATGCAGCTGATCGCAGCATCACTAATCTGCAGAACAAAAACACAAATATAACCTCCAAAAAACACATTCATGTGTTTCATAGCTTGTATATTATTTAAAATGGCTGCTAACACACAACTACACGTTAAAATATCCAATTCATCATGACTTTAAGCCACATATATTTTTATACAGACAGTCTAAACTATAATCTGCTTATGTTAGCATAACTTTACAGTCACTGAGTGGAAAATAACATGTTTCTGTTTAACAGGGTTTGGTTCTTTTGTGGGTCTGCAAGTGGCACACTCTGTCTTTAGCCCTCCCAGTTTTCAATAATCAAATATATGGTGATAAAATAACACAAATAAAAAAATATGCAAGAGTGTAAAGTTTGCATGGCTGTTTTGTTTGTCAGTTTTTTAACTTTGTTAGCAGCATTGCTAACTTTGATGGACAGCAGTCCGGTTTGTTCACGCACTGACCTCGGTGACAGCATCGTGTTTGTTTCCGGATCACGGTGTGAAAGGTTCGGAGGTCCGGACGGATCAGATGAGCCCACAGAGAAAAAGACAGAAACGAGAAATCTCTAACTTTCTCTGGAGAACAGAACACCGCTGAGCACAAGGATGGTTTCCGTGTATTTACGTCATCACGTAAAAAACGTGATGACGTAAAAGACGTTGATCATGGGCTTTTCGATCCTGGGTACAGCCTGTCAGGAGCTCTGGAGAGGCTGGATATTTGTACAAATGTTAAGATAATGTTTGTATACAGAAACCAGCTGATATATTTTTACTTTAATAATGATTATATATTTGTTTTACAGCTTATTCATCAATGGAAAACTTACTTAGGCTCCTTGAAAAACAATATCACGATGCAACATCCTTATGACTTCTTATCTCATAAATATAATTTACCATTTGAGAGTTTTTTTTTTAATTCAAGTAGCAGAAACGGGCTTCTTTATTTTTATCCAGATTGCCAGCTTGTTAAATATTGGTTAGACTTTACATTTTATTACTTGCTACGCAAACTGATTTTGAAGTGATATATTTCTAGTTTATTTGCTTTCCAGCTATATCACAAAACCTGCAGCCACAAAACATTTTTCCATTGTGTTTTTTAGGACCTTGAAGAGCTGAAATTACAAGCAAGTTGCGCAACAAGGAGGTCAAGAAACAGGAGACAAGTGCAAAAAAAGAGAAGTGTTACAAAAACCAAAGGATCACCTAAATTACACTTTTATTATTCCAGACCTTTGACCTTTCCATACAGGAGTCTTTTGTTACTATCAGCGTAAACAGTTACAGTCAACCCCATCTGGAAAATTCCACTGATGCATCATGGGTAGAAAACACTGCTCCTTAGAGGAACGTCCTAAACTTTTTAGCTTCTTACTCACAAAATAAAAGTAACAGTTATGGCTATTATTTGCATCTCTTTTATATGTTAAAGAAAAACATTATCAAATGTATTTTTAATTTGTATTTAATGCCTGGCATCATATCAAGAGTATATATTTAATGTTTTATGACAAAAACAATATTCCTAAATTCAATTTTAAAACAAATAGTTATTATTAAAGTGGAAAACTGTAAATTGTCTGTTTTCATCATCAAAATAAAAATATGGAATGTTTCCTTATGAGATTCTTTTCTGTATGCTGATTGGGTGAAAATGATCCAGAGAGCGGCGCTTATTGGTCAGAAATCTGAGCGGAACAGAGAATTGACCAATAGAATTAGAGCACGAGCGCGGCTATATAAATGCCGGCGTTAATCCGAGCAGAGCATACAACAGCAGCGGCCCGGCCGAACGGCGATTTAAACTGGATGTTCTTGTGTCGACGAACGCGTCCTGACCAGAGCCTGACTGTGGGGGAAAATCCACTGCGAAGCGAATGAAGAAACACCTGATCTTCCACTTCACATACAGAGGACTTCTAACGAGAGGAAAAAAGAGTAAAAGAAAATGGAGTATAAATTACGAAAAGCTGAACCCAAGGATGTGCCCGATATATTACGACTGGTGAAGGTAGGCTAATTAAGGCCGGCCATTTTGTCCAAAACGCTAAACAAAAAAAGTAGTCTATAGCAGCCAAAATAACGGTTTAGACTGAGTCGGGGTTTTATAAATATTTAAACCAAATTATCATCGACTAGAGTGTGTTTTGACGCAGTGTCAAAGTAATGAATAGGTCGAGGAGAATTTCCGAAGGATGTTGGAGAATGAGGTCAGCTCGAGCCGCTTTTGTTTACGGCTCATAACGGCCTCGACTTCCGCTTCTCCAAATATGGGCCGTCCGTCGTCAGAGCTCATGTTCTTATCAAGGCTGACCACGATCCACTGTTACAGCTGCTTGACCACACATACACAAAGACAAAACTGTAGTTTTATATTTTGGTTAAATTACAGACGAGGTACTTTAATTTGCTTTTATAAAATATAAAAGTCTTGCGTATTAAGTAATGTTAAAGTGGTCCAAGATCCTCTAGACGGGTTATTTACTTGTTTAAATATGTATTTTATACGCAACTAGTACCTCATTGGAGATAGTAATCTAAAACAAAAAGGTAAAAGATAAAATTTCGCCTACGTTTTGTCTTTCCAGGAGCTTGCGAAATACGAAGAAATGGAGCACCAGGTGGCGCTGACTGAGAAGGGTAAGTTTCAGGTCAGGTTATCCTTCAGCTGTCCTCCTCCTGGGTTTAATTTTGAATTTCTTTGTAGATCTCCTTGAGGATGGGTTTGGTGAAACTCCGTTTTACCACTGCATCATCGCTGAAATCCAAGGAGAGAAGAGCAGCGGAGGTAAGCGATAAAACCCGTTTCCTCCACGTCCATCTTTAGGTCTTTAAACGGACTTGCGAGCACCTGAAACATTGCCAAAGTTCAGCTGTTTTTCCATGTGCTGAAGCCTTAGTAACGAACGGCTCATACAAAGACGGGAATGTTTTCCACCTCGCAGCAGGAAGTAGCAGGTTAAAGGTGAACTGTTTGAGGGAGAAACCTTTCCTCGGATACAATAAATCCAGGCTTTTAGCGTTTCATAAAACCTGTGCAGGTGCAAACGGCTGGTAGATTGGGTCTAATCTACCAAAATAAAAAGTGATCCGAGCCTCGTTTTCTCACTGCAGATCCGAACGTGGTGGGCTTCGCCATGTACTACTTCACCTATGACCCCTGGGTGGGCAAACAGCTCTACTTGGAGGAGTTCTACGTGATGGACCAGTGTAGAGGTAAGAGGACTCGCCTGTTCAGGGTCACACAAAGCTACCAGAACAACAAGCAACAGTTTTGTCTCTGTTTGAAGGCCTGGGCATCGGTTCGGGGATCCTGCGGCACCTCAGTGACGTAAGCTTCTTCACCAAACAGATCCATCTCATTTCCAGTTGCATTCTGGGAACAGTGACTGTTTTTAGCCGTTCTTTAACGTGTCCCGGCTCCTCCTCCAGCTGGCGATGAAGACACGCTGCACCGGCATGATGTTCGTGGTGGCGAAGAACAACGAGCCATCCGTCCAGTTCTACAAGCGGCGCGGCGCTGAGGACCTCTCCGAGGAGGAGGGCTGGAGGCTCTTCAGGTTCGACAAGGACAGCCTGGTCAAGATGGCCACCCCCGCCGAGGAGTGACAGGAGGAACCGAAGAGCCCCGCTGCTCCAATGACGGCCGACTGAAAGAGTTCAGCTTCTAAAAAAGGGAAACGTTCAAAATTCTGTGTAGTTTGCATCATTTAGTTCGTGAATCTTATTTAAGTTTAATATTTGTATTTTAATCAATAAAACGGTCTGATCTCACTCTGTGGCTCGTTCTGAAAACAGCTGTGGTAACATCCATCTCTGACCTTCAGGTCAGGATGTATTTAAAATTATTAATCTTTATATCCGTTTAAAGTTGCACCAAGCGAAACAGATTAATTTGTCATACACACCACACGTGATGCATGAGGTGGGACGAAACTACATGGTCCCAGTTACATCCAACAATAAGATCTGAGTCATGAACTAAGAATATACTACATTCATTGAACTAATGGTACAAAAACAATGTGCCAAACATAATCAGGACATTAATTTCATGTACCTTTTTATTTGTACAGAGAAGTCTCACTGAGTCGCAAAAACATTTTCAAGACCGACCCGTTTTTGGGAGCAGATGGAGGTTAAGGGCCTTGCTCAGGGGCCCAGTGAGGCAAATGAAGGTGGAGACCGGTGTGTTTCACCTTTACCACTCACATTTTGATGTTGACGGTACCAGGAGTTGAACCTGTGGCTTTCCAATCACAAGCCTATCTTCTCTAACCTCTGTGCCACCACTCAATTAAAACTAAGCTGATTTATTTTAACCGGCAGAAGCTTCTTTATGAATAAAGTTCTGCTGTGTCGGATGTTTAAAGCAGATTTCTCTTTGTTTTCTAGTTTTCAGCTCAAAACAACTTCAATGAATATTTGAGAAGGAAAAAACCTCTCGAAACTTAAAACTGTTTGCTAGACTCTGATAACGATCAAAAACGATGAAGCAACATTTTTATGTTCAAATTTGAGCTGAAGCAGCTTCAAATCAGCTGATTTGGTTTCTGAATAAATTTAACGTTTTTAACCAGCATTTATTTCTGTACGACGGCTTTTTCACAAATAAATCTTGATAAAATGTGACCTCAGCAACTTGGAAGAGGAAGGGACATAAAAGTTATTTTAATCTGAGAACACTTGTCAGAAAGTCACTACATCTGCTGATCGAGGCGAACGTTTTGACTCATGAACGGCAAAAAAAAAAAAATCCTTTTAGTACTTTCAGTTCATAAACGTGCGAGCCAAATTCTGTTAAAATAAGAATAAGTCTTTAAAATAAGCAGTTTACATATTCAATTTATTTACATTTAAACTCTTTACACCTGTAGACACGAACAGTTTGTTGATGAATATTAAAAACAGAAATAAACACCAGGGCGTGTCACGACCACCTCAGAGCAGGAAGTTCTGACCTCAGACAGGAAGTGCATCAGCACAGAACAGGAGGAACTTGACATGAGTCCGCAGAGAGTCCAACACACTGAGGGGTTTCAGTTCCACATCAGACAAATAAGGTCAAAGTGACTTTATCCCAGAAAACTTTTTTTTTTTTTTTTTTACCAAATCATATAATTATGTAAAAATAAAACAAATTCCTACTTTAAAGGGGTATTCCAGCCATCCTGGAAAAGTAATGAACAGTGAATATCTTACCTGTTGAGGATAGGTCTAAACCACCTCAGTTTAGAGTTTTAACTGAGACGAGAACGATGAGCTAATGGCTAGTCCCGGCGTGGGTCGCTCCACTAAAATTCTATTTTATCATTTTGAGGCTTGGCAATCAGTGTAGGAATGCATATCACCTACCAGCTTGTGTGCTAAACTTTTATACAAAGCTCCTAAGAGATCCGTTGGTGCTCAGATAAGGTGTCCGGGGTGACTCTCAGCTACTACCAGACCAAGTTTTAGTTCCATATCTGTAAAAGTAGCAGTTGTAGCCAATTTACTGATGTGGTGACCATCTTGAACGATATAATCCGTTTTGCAAAAATGAGTATCCCAAACTGATGTGGTTTGTAAACTAGCGTTAGCATAAACTGGAATATTTTAGATTTGAGTTGTTTTTGGATTAGCTCTTCAATCAGGTCACGATTAAAACTATTCCTCCAAAATGAGATCGCTCAAAGAGTTCTGAACTACATTTTCAAAGGTCTGAACTATCCCTTTAAACATTTTAAGCTGATCTCGGCTGCAGGTGACGAAAGACCCTTGAAATGGTTTTGAGTTACTAAATATTGTGGTCTGGTAACTAGATTAGGGATGAAGAGTAAAGATGAGGAGGACAACGTAATCCAGCTCAGGAACGACTTCCCTTGAAGCGGTTTGACCCGTTCAGCTCCTGTGGACCGGTTCTGTCCAAAAACATAAACCTTTGATCTACAAAAGGTCCGTATGAGTCATGGAACGCTCCTCTTCCTCAGCTCTTCGTCTCGTCGCTCTCTGCTCGCTGCGAGTTCTCAGGCTTCACCGACTAAAACAAAAACAAATCAGAAAAACAAACAAAAAAACCAGTATAAACCAGAGGAACCAAACTCACCTTTTTCTTGTTGAATGGAGGCTCTTTCCACAGCGTTTCCATGGCGACACGGCCCTGCTGAGTCCAGGTGTATGCAGAGTCTCGACTCACCTGTCGGTAAAAAAAACAAAAAACACAGAAACTAGATTTTATGTAAAATAATTCATAAAACATTAAAAAGTACAAATTGATGGAGCAGCTTAACATATGAGTCATTAATTATGGTAAAAAAAACATATACAGTACAAGGTACTAACAGGATACACACCCAAGTACATACAAATAACTTACAGATCACCATACCTGGTAAATAGTACCCTGAAAATATCTGTACCCAGTATATTGCCCAGCAAGTACCCTGTATATTACCCAGTAGGTAACCTGTATATTACCCAGCAAGTACCCTGTATATTACCCAGCAAGTACCCAGTATATTACCCAGCAAGTACCCTG